TAGGGAAAACTCTTCTGTCTAAGGCATGCACATTCACCCTTGTTCCCATGTGAATCCCAGCAGCTCTCCTCCAGAGTGCCAAGGTTTCTTGTTCAGATCAAGAAAACCTCATGTTCTCTCTTTTTTCAAATATCAAACTAGATTGCCCAACCTGATCCAGCTTTCCACTTCCCAAGCACAAGGGACCAACCCTGCTAGTGCTCATGGTTTCCATTAGATCTAAGTATGAAACAAAGCTGCCAGTAAGAGTGTTTTTAAAGAGCTAATATAAAACCATTGTAGGTAGGTTTGTTTGTTTTTTTTAAATAAGAAATAGTTTAATGGGCATGTATTGTTCAATGACAGGCATGTCGCAAGTTTCGGGATGATGCGACCTGCAAGGACACATGTCCCCCATTAGTCCTGTATAACCCCACTACCTATCAGATGGATGTCAACCCTGACGGAAAATACAGCTTTGGAGCCACGTGCGTGAGGGAATGTCCTCGTAAGTTCATGTCGACTTGCAGCCACTGGGGAGGTGGCGAGTTTGAGGGAGGTGGGGAAGGGAACTGTCTGTATCATCTCCCTGCTTTACGTCCAAGTGCAGGAGCACTTTCTAGCTCTTCCCAGCTGCAGTGGAACCTGGGAACACATGACAAAAGTGAGAGAATGGCTGAAAAAGAAGACAGCCTCTTAAAACTTTCTGGATCCATCAGCTTCCCTGATTTTTAACAATTAAGTTTTGACTCCTAAAGATTTTCTCTTAATGGAGAGAAAAGCATCTTGTGAGAATTGGCAAAACAATGCCAAAACAAACCGTATAGGATCAATAATGTGGATAATTAGAGCAGTATCAGCTCTTAACTGGTTCTTACTGGGGACTCGGAAACTTACTGCTTTACACACTCCCTCTCAAGTCCTGTAATCGTTGCCTCCTCTAGAGACGCTTTCCTTGTCTTTCATGCTCTTCCATGTTGATGGTCTTTTTAAACACCACGACTTATATGTAAGGGAGGGTTCAGCATGCGGAACTGACATCCCTTTCTGAGGTTCACTTTTGCCCTTCCTGGGCCTTTGGCGTAGAAGAATGAATAACGATTAGGAATCAGAAAGTGCTGGGTATTGACCTGGATTATGGCACCGCTGCACAGTCTGTCCTTGGCAATGTTGTTTTACCCTTCTGGACAATTCCCCTCTCTGTAAAACAGTGATAACAATGTATGTCTATCTACCTTCAAAGGACGTTGTGAGAAGTAGTAATTAATGCTTGTGCTTTGCCTAAGTATGCCAAAAGCTCAAAAGCCTTTTAAGTGCCTGTGCAGCCCCCAGTGCATCCGTCTGATATTTCAATGCCCTTGTCGTCCTTGTTTTTCCAGACAACTATGTGGTGACAGACCATGGCTCCTGCGTTCGCTCCTGTAATACTGATACTTATGAAGTGGAAGAGAACGGTGTTCGGAAGTGTAAAAAATGTGACGGGCTATGCAGCAAAGGTATAAAAAAATATGGAGTCAAATAGTAGGGCTTTGAGCCAGAAGGTAATTTATTAGAAAAAGTACATGGAGTTCTAACCTTAATTTAGATTGCAAATTTAGAGTGCAAATTCAATATAAATATCCTTTGATAGTTTGGAGGTCAAGACAAGTAGTTTGATCAGGAGTCCATGGCTCTGGAGCATGCTCTCAAGCTGGGATACTCTGCAAGCGCACTGGGTAAACTCTGCTTCCTGTAGACATAATTCTAGCACATCAGTCTTCTCCGTAGTTTGTCCTTCCCATGATCTCATCCACGGAAATAAAATGAAAATGGGATAGGGAGAAGTACACATGCAAGAGCCTGTGTGCAGAGGTGCTAGGATCAATGCTGCACAACTAGGCAAGCAGGAAGCATTTATCCTTTGGTGCTTTTGGATATGCAAAAGTAGACAGAAGATCTATGAAACTGATCTTACAGGGGTAGGTTTGACCATATGGGAATGCTTTCTGGACTGATACCATTTCTGTGTTTATCCCCTCACATGCGATCGTGCCTAACTCTTCTCCCCCTTCGCTTCTGTGTTTCCATTTTACCAGTGTGCAATGGCATCGGAATCGGTGAGCTTAAAGGGATTCTCTCCATAAATGCCACAAACATTGACTCTTTCAAAAACTGTACTAAGATCAACGGGGACGTCAGCATTCTCCCAGTTGCATTTCTAGGGTGAGTTGCCTGCTGATCTTTCAGCATTGGAGGAGAGGGGCGAGGGAGAAGTTCAGGCTGATCCGTTCTTCTTCCAACTGCTCCTTCTGTTTGTTTCAGCGATGCCTTCACAAAGACGCTACCTCTGGACCCCAAGAAACTGGATGTCTTCAAAACAGTCAAAGAAATATCAGGTCAGCAATATGTTTTAAGTATGGGATGTTATCTGATTTGTCCTGCCAAAAAAACAAAGGGAGATTTTTTCAAGTGTGTGAAGATAAGCGCAAGTAAATAGTTTCTGCCCCTGAGCTCATAGGGGTCACTCCTCACAAAGGTGGTCAGTAGAGTTTTGCTAACTTTACACTCGCGTAACTTGTCCTGGCCTCTCATCCAAGGTGTGTGGTTTTACCAGACCATCCCTTCTGCTGAATTGTCAGTCTTGGTGAAGAGTAAAAGCAGAAAAGATACTCAGCCACCCAAGAAGTATGTGATGATGCAGAGGCGTGCCACTCTGGCTAAAAAAAAAAAAAACAAATGTGTTTCTATTTGTGGAAAATCTTTCAGCAGTTCCTTAGGGAAGCGTGCTCAGTGGCTTGCATCATCCTCACGGAGGCACCCTCTCCAGCCTGGAGAGCTCTTCCTTGAAATGAATGCAGACTCTGAAAGCGTGAAGTGGTCAGCGGGGCGCTCGACTTCAGTCTTGCACAAGTGTCAATTAAAAGTCATTGTGTTCAAAGTTGTTCATCCCATTACGAAAGCAGTGTAATATCAGAGCTAGGCCCGCAGACGTGTCGCCAGTTCCCCTTGGCTTTCTCTCTTTTATCTCTCCGGCTACCTAAAGGGTAGCGATCTCTAACCTCAGAACTTCAGCTAGCAGAATGCAATTTTCCAAATTCCTTTCCTCTACCTGAACGCCTCTTCTGAAAAGGGAAATCTGCTTGTCTTAGCAGATACACCAGTCAGCTCTCTGTTCTGCTCTGTTTCTGTCTTCTGTTCGTTTTTCTGTTCCCCAAAGGCAGCTCACAACCAGGACAAAGCAAGGCTTTTCTCATGCTGCAGTGAAACCTGGCGCTTCTCAACCGGGATGACTGCTGACAAGAGCAGGCACTGGTGGCTCAGTGTGGTAGGATGTGCAGCTCACTGACACACCATTCTCCTGCGCTACATTTTAGCCTCCTGGTGGGCTAAAAAGTAAACTGTTTACAAGGCCGTGTTTAAAAATATCTTCCTGCTCCCTAAAATGTCATGCTTAATTTTGAAATTCTCAGGAAGGCACATGGAAAGTACAAGTGCCTTCCCCCAGCTTACAGTGTTTGGGGCAAGAAGTTCCACTTCCAATACTGACCAAGTTTTTTTTTTTTTTTCCTCCCATCTTCTTTTCTTCATTTCAGGATTTTTGTTGATTCAGGCCTGGCCTGATAACGCTACTGATCTCTATGCTTTTGAAAATCTGGAGATTATACGAGGCAGAACCAAGCAACAGTAAGTGAATCACGTGCCAGACTCAGTGCAAAAGAAATGGTTTAGAGGTGCATTTATCTGAGCATGCCAAGGTGCAAAAGGTCTGTGAAACCCAGATATAACAAAAAAGTCGGGCTAAGTTGCAAAATTGGAACAAGCCTGCTAGGAGTCAAGCACCCTTTTTGTAGCAGTAGAGAATTTGCCCTGATAGGATCAAATCTGCACCTCTGTGCTGCTTTTAGAGGGCTGCAAGGAACCTACTCTCAGGACCAGGCTCTCCTCCACAAGCTTGTAGGTGTGAGCGACTCCTTGGGGTCCAGGGCTTGAGGGTGCCAGGGAAGTTATTATGTGATCAGAAGCACTTTGGGTTTTGAGGCAGCTGCGTAGTAGGAGAGGGAGACCACAGCTTGCAGGTGGCCTAGAAACCAGCAATGCATCCAAACCAGCCTTGGCTTACCCTCAGAGGGAGGTAGCTTTGTGGACCAGTGCAGAATAACTGTTCTACTTGTAACCATTGTTACACAGCATTTACTTAATAGAAAGCACATGTGCTGCGAGATTTAGCTTAAAATTCCCATACAGAACCAGATACGAGTATTGCAGTTGTTTTACAACAGGCATGTCATGTGCCACATCTTAAGCTTAGTGGACCAAACAATGTCTTGCTTGAACGAGATCCAGTTCACAGCAACACCTATAGGCCTTTGTAAACCGAAAGAAAAATATGCTGAGTAAAACCCTGCTTAATCATCCTTTTTCTTCTGTGTGTTTTCTTTTTTCCATGTCCATTTTAGTGGCCAATACTCCCTTGCAGTTGTTAATTTGAAAATACGGTCCTTAGGACTGCGCTCCCTCAAGGAAATCAGTGATGGAGATGTTGCCATTATGAGAAACAAGAACCTCTGCTACGCGGACACGATGAACTGGCGTAGTCTCTTTGCAACTCAGAGTCAGAAAACAAAAATTACACAGAACAGAAATAAAAACGACTGTGGTAAGTCAGTGCTGTCCTCTTGGCCCACTTGGAATCTCATGCTAAAACGCAGGAGTAATTTAAGCATGTCTTTTTTCTCTCCATTCCCCGATTTCAAAGTCTGTCGAAGCTGATATTCACTCATGCTGCTATTGACTGCAGTCATCCGTGGGCCAAAATCTAATTATTTCGCTTTGCAGAATATGAATTTGTTATATTTTATAAAGTGATCTCCTTTGGTACTGATTTAGCCTTATTATATGGCTGTTAAGCAGTCACAGAGGAGCTCGTTTTTATTTTGAAGAGCCAGAAGTCATGTTTAATTTCAGGCTTTGGAAATTAAAGGAAGCATGATTATTCCTCTTCCGTACTGTCAGGATCATTAATGTCTGCTTTGGAATAATTTGGAAAAATTGGTTCTCAAAACGGAGTGCTGCAGTACTGTATTTGCTCTCTCTCCTGCTTTTAAGTTCATGGCTTTTTTTTTTTTTGATCTCTTTTTCTCTTAGCTGCTGCTAAGCATGTTTGTGACCCCCTGTGCTCGGATATAGGCTGTTGGGGCCCAGGGCCCTTCCACTGCTTCTCCTGCAGGTTTTTTGGCCGCCAGAAGGAGTGTGTGAAAGAGTGCAATATCCTGCAAGGGTAAGGTGTCTGGGGGTTTTGGTGGTGATATTTCAGTTTTGTTTTCGAGAACTCATGTGGTGTGGTTAGCAAGAAAGCAAAAACAAGGGACTCTGATCGCGTTGGACTTCACCAGCATTGCAAATAAGTTAGTTTGAGCGTAGCACCTAAATAGGGAAAAGCTGGGAGCTGGGTGGTGGGGCTGCCCTGCTTGGCATTGCTGGGGAGCCTGCTCCCGCCAGAGCGGCTGGCACGAGAAACCCCCTCGAGCCTGCCAGGCGACGAGCCCTGGAGGCCCGAGGAAGCTAAACATTACATTTCCTTCCTGTAAGGAATAAAAGAGCTTAAAGCACCTTTGAAAATCCAATGCTAAGCCCATTGGGCGAGAGCCTAGGCTCAGAGCAGTCACGGGGAGCTCGGTTCCCCCTCGAGCCAGGGATTTGCCCCTTGGGAGACACCCTTGCTGCAGAGGGACTCTTCCGTGCGCTCAAAATTATGCGCGAAAGATTTGCTGAATTGCAGCGTGTGTTTCGGGAGGTCAAAGTCTGCCCCGGGGTGCCCTGGAGGGGCTCCCATTGAAACTGCAGGCAGCTCCTGGCAAAAGTCCCGGGCAGTGCTTAGCCTTGCAATTTGCAAAGCTGTAGTCAAGGGAAAATTAACCTTAATATGAAGAGCACTTGGAGCAGTAATTTCAGGCAAAATTATTGCTTCAGCTTCACTCCGGATAAGCAAAACATATTGATGCCTCTCCGCCAGTACTGCGAATGTCTTTTTCTGTCAGTTCAACAGGTGCTGTAGGCAGGAAAGGAATGGCTAATTTTCAGCAATGCGTATTAGACACAAAATGTTTTCCCAGCCACCGATTTTTTGGTGCAAACATTTGTCTTTATTTTGTGACTGAATCTTTCAAAGTTGGACTTTTAAAAACCATTACTGTTATGAAAGTAATTGACAGTGTGCTGATGCCCGTGAAGTTTGTATTTGTCTAGCAACTTGCAGTTCAGCAGCTGTCTTTTTTGTAAGTGAATTCCCTCTGGCAGCTATTACGACCTGAAGGGCAGATCTGGGCATTTTTGGTGTCAAATGATGGGTAAATTTAGTTTAATTAATAACACTATTACTTGAAGTGGAACAGCTTTATTGCTATTGAAACCATCTGTTCCCAACTTTCATATTTTAATGATTCATTGTGTGTTGTAGGGAGGGCATGAATTTAATTATCAGTGCATTTCTGTTTAACTTTCCTAATTATTATTTGGAGTCGTGGAATCACTCGAACTGCTTTTGCAGATCTCTTTGCATCGCTGCCATTTAAAGGCCTTTGAAAATCTTTGAGAATATTCTCTGTCGTTAGCTTAAAATGGAAAGTAAACTCATTTGTAGCGTGCGATCTGGAGTGCCATGTGTTCCACTGTCAACCAAATTGCCCGTACTGCTACCTCCCCCTCGTTGGGCTGATGTGCGGTGACCAGGCAGCACCTTCACCCTGTATCGCCCCCTGCCTCATTGCAATTGTCCCAGTATAGTTGAGCTGAAAAAGTCAAAAGAAGGAGGAGAGAGAGATTAAGAGACCGCCAGAAGTCATCACTTGCTCATCAGCATCTTGCCAGCTTCTTTTTGTTGTTTCCATTTTTCATTTTCCAGGGAGCCCCGGGAGTTTGAAAGGGACTCGAAGTGCCTCCCGTGTCACCCAGAGTGCCTGGTGCAAAACTCCACCGTCTACAACGCCACCTGCACTGGACCCGTAAGAGCAGATCTGCCTTAGGCAAACCTCTGCACGCAGGCAAATTAGACTATAACGTGCATTTCCCGTGTTGAGATACTGCACATCCCATGAAGAGGGCTGATACTTTAAAACAAGTCCTCATTTAACCTTCTGCAGGACCAGGCTGAGATGGGGGACGTGGAGGGCAAGGTCTGGGGGCAGGGAGAGGGGACAAAAACAGGAGGGGGGGGGGGGTGGGGGGAAGGGGAAAAAAAAGAGGGGGGGGGGGGGGGGTCTTCAGGGTAGTATCGCTTTCATGTCACCCATCATATACATAATCCACTCAGTCTCTCAGCCACAGGCATTGCAGGGCCTTTCCTGGCTGTGTCTTTGTACAGCAAAGTTTAAGGATTATACATAGGTGAAAATACAGGAATTTGGTGACCATTCTAGGAGTATGTAGTTACCAGACAGCCAAATTAGCGGGAAAAAAATTGAACTTCCATATTCAGAGGGAGAAAAAAAAAACAGTTAAAAACAGTGGATCAGTACAGTAGCTTTTCCCCTTTGAAAAACGCAGGATGAAGTTGTGATCAAAACCAGGTGTTTACCTGAAAATATTCAGGAAACAGTTTTTACATAGAAGCACATTCCCTCTTCTAACTAGGTTTAGGTAAATGTCTATGGTATAGTAATTGCAAGTATAAGTTATGTTCAAAGAAAGGTAATCAAAACAAAATGAAGGTTTTTTCCAAATTATTTACACTTACCAAATTCATATAAAAGCTCCTTCTACAAAAGCCAATACACTCGACTCTTGACAGTCATCTAGAGTCGTCTTCAGCTTTGTTCTTCCATTTTTAAAATGTTCCTTTATGAAATGTCTGGTTTGGCAAATGTGAAAAATAATTTCTTTTGAATCAGTGTTAGATCGAACTCACGTCTTAATTTTAAAACTCTAATTCTCATGCCTGTCCGGAAGGGTGCCATACTATCCTACCTCGACAGCTGAATTTGGCCCTTTGTCTTTATGTGAGACAATATTTCATTGCAAATGCACCCTCTGTCTCGGTGAGCATTTTTTGGTTATTGAAGTCAAACCTCCTGTTTCCCTCAGAGATTCCTCCCCTCTGTGCTAGCTAGTCAAAATCTTTAAATGCCTCCTGCCCTCTTCTGCAGCCACTTCATGTTTGACTCTTGCGTCAGTCTGCAGAGTCACTGCTCAGTAATGTGAAGTATTTCCATCCTCCCTTGTAGCTCGGGCCACCATGGCCAAAGGGCAGTTACCAACATTATAAGCTCCTTCAGGCACTGACCATCTTCTCGTTCCATATTTGCCCAGCGTCTAGGAATTAATCTGCTATCATGGCCCTTAAACATCACAATAATTTAAATAATCTTCACATAGCATGTCTCACTGTAGCCCCGCTGAAACCAGCACCGTGGATCTGGCCTGTTTGTTTTTCTGTAGTAGAATTTGACCCAGATTTGCTGCTTTCCCTGCTTGAAAATACTTAGGGCATTCTTAGTGCTGCTCCAGTCTGAATAAAAACCAGCACCTTTGCCAAAACTGGCCTGAGCTGATTCTTCTGAACACAAACTAATGCTCTTCAAATTAGAAAGCCTGTGGACCCTTTGAGTTGCCTTCGCTTTCACCTGCTCCTAGCAAACAGAGGAAAAAACCTGTGCTGAGAAGCCAGGGAAACAGTGATTTGGGGCCAGTGCTTCGGGGAGCTGTAAACAGGTGCAGCTCCGTGGTTTGAAGTTGTATGATGGTAGATTGTGCTGGGCAACAATCTGGCCTTCTGTTTTTTAACTTACCCTTTGTCCACCTAGGGATAAATTATACCTCATGTTAAATGAGAAATGCAAGCTTTCCAACAAGGCAGAAAGCAGGAAAAAAACAAAACGGCGGGAACCGTACAGCAACACTGAAACTCAAGAAAGTATTAGCTTTAAACCTCAGGTGCTGCCTTGTGTACGGTTCATGCTACAAAAGCAAATACTTGTAAGCGTTTCAGGTAGCCCAGTAATGAAACTGCGTCGTGCTGGAAACTTCGAGCAGTCGAACACATTTAGATTTATCTTCAGCATTTCCTCTTGATTAGGCCAGGATATGGGTGTTACCAACAAGCTTTTTCTTGGTTTCTTTGCAGGGCCCAGACAATTGCATGAAATGTGCCCATTTCATAGATGGCCCTCACTGCGTGAAAACCTGCCCCGCGGGGGTGCTGGGCGAGAACGACACCCTCGTCTGGAAATACGCGGACACAAACTCCGTTTGTCAGCTCTGCCATCCAAACTGTACCCGCGGGCAAGTAACGTGTTTGTCTA